AGCCCATGAAAAGTTTGCCTTAAAGTCAGCATAAGTTAAAAACGACTTGAAAGCACACAAAAGCAAACTCCTTGTGGCAGCAAAAAGTGGCACGAAGAGAAGAACTGGCCCCAGTTGCAGAGCACATGCTTCTTCCATGCACCCAAATCATCCTGCTTCCTTCCTGCCTTTAAAAGAATCAGATCTGCTGTTGGATACAAACATCCTTGAAATATGTCAACTTAAATTTTAAACCCAGATTCTCCGTTCAGCAGATGAGACTGAGGACAATGATGAAGTCGTCCTATATACTGTTGCTGTGTGCCTTCAAGTAATTTCCAATTTATAGCAACCCTATCTCAGGGGTTTCGTGACAAGATTTGTTTGGCAGTGGTCTTGCGATTGTCTTCCTCTGAACTGAGAGAGTGTGACTTGCCCAAGGTCACCCAGTGGGTTTCAATGGCTGAGCAGGGATTTGAACCCTGGTCTTGAGAGTTGTAGTCCAACACTCAAGCCACTACACCACACTACTCAGAAATAAACTCCACTGAGTTCAATGACACTTAACCCTATCTAACTTGGCAAGACTACAGCCTTAACATTTATACTGTGCAGGGATAGGATGTTATTGGATTGGAATTCCCATTAGCCTTAGCCCACATATACACTGATGAGGGATAATGGGTGCTGCTGTTCAGTAATATTGCCCATTCTTACTATAGTGTTTTCCGACCACTATCATCCTCCCACTGCTGATGGAGGCTGAGAGAGAATGGCTTGATCAAGATCACCTAGCAGACTGATGGCACAAATAAAAATTTGAACCTGGAACATTACAATTCAGTCTCAAAATGGCTAAAACAGGTCACATACTACTAGCAAATGTTGAAGGTAAGTAAGTATAAGGTGGTAAAATATGTTGGTATGGACATGTTGGTAAAGGCAGATGTGTATATGTGTCTTCATGTTGCCTGTCAATTTATGGCAACCCCATAAATTTCATGGGGTTTTTCTTAAGCAAAGAATACTCAGAAGTAGTTTTGCCAGTTTCATCCTCTGAAATATAGCCTACAGTACTTGGTCTTCACTAGTGGCCTCCTATCCAAGTACTGACCCTGCTTAGCTTCTAAGATCAGGCAGGAACTGGTGCCTATTTAGGTCTGGATTTGTAAAACCCAAAGTCTGGCAAAGTTACCCTTTTGACTACAACTCCTACAATTTCCCAGATGACATGGGAGTTATGTTTTTTAAAAATGCAACTTTTCAAATGCCTGGATTGTTTGCAAGGCAGACTACAGCCTCTCCGCAAATTGTTCCCTAGCAAGCTCACTCCTGTTTCACTTGGGCTCCATCTGCACTGCAGAAATAATCCAGCCTGACACTGCTTTAACTGCCATGGCTCAATGCTTCTAGGAATTGTAGTTTTGTGAGACATTTAGCCTTCTCTGGCAGAGCGCTCTGGTGCCACGACAAACTACAATTCCCAGAACTCCATAGTATTGAGTCACGACAGTTAAAATGGTGTCAAACTGGATTATTTCTTTTCTTCTTTTATAAGTTTACTGAGCATATAAAAACAAACATAAAAACATATCAAACCACATACAAACATACAATACATATAAAAGATCACTCATATTACATACCAATTACTAACCCTTCCTCATTCTAAAATCTCTCTTAACTCTAACTTTATTATCCCTCAGACCTATATTTCCCTTCTTTATTTCTTTTACATTTCTTTTTCATTCACTCTTTTCAATCTTACTCAATTAATGATCATTACGATCTTTTGCAAATTCCCCAAGCATTTCAACATTTTCAAATTCATCATCTAACTTACTCAAAACTTTACCACGTACTTCATCCTTAGGAGGACAAAGTGGATTATTTCTGCAGTGCGGATGCAGACTGAGCTTCCAGAGAGCACAGATTTATTGGGCCACAATAGGAGACAGCGGCAATGCTCCAAGGAAGCTGCTGCATGAATGTCTCACAATGGCATGTTATGTTTGGGGTGCTATAGAAAATTAAAATGGAGACCACACTGGGGTCATTGTTTCAGCTCCCACAATCCTCCATCCAGAGCAGTTGTTCGAAACTTTGGCCATTCCAGATGTTTTGGACTTGCATGATCTGTGATCGCCATGCCATTTGAACCTTTCTGGAAGCTAGTGTCCAAAGTATGTGGAAAATTAAAGGCTGAAAACCCCCGAGTGACATTGTGTCAAAGCATCGTGGGACCTTAAAATGGTTGCTTGCTCAGATTCCATTACTCAGTGATCAAATTAATTAGATAGAAGTTCAGGGTAAATGTCCATGCGGGCCCCGGAGCTCCATAAGCTGCTCAATGACACCATGTATCATTGATAAAATTACTTTTTTAAATTACAGTTCCCGGGATCCCTCTTTCCAAGCTCTGCTATATGGAGACTCTCAGCAGGTTTTGTGGTGTATTCTTTCATTTGTAAATGGCCCTGGGTTGTCCCAAAAGTCTTTGTAAATATAACAGAGCCAGCGTGGTGTAGTGATTTGAGTGTCAGAGTGGGAGACCAGGGTTCGAATCCTGGCTTGGCCATGAAAAATTACCAGGCAAGCCATACTCTCTCAATGGAAGGCAATGGCAAAAAAACAGAAGCCTTGCCAAGAAAACCCTGTGATAGGGTCATCTAAGGGTTGCCATAAGTCAGAAATGACTAGAAGGTACACAATAACAACAACTACTACAATAATGACTAACAACATTCAGATATTGATAAACTAGACGTTATCCAGAGAAAGATGATGAAAATGGCGAGGAGACTCAACGCCAAGTTTTGTGAGGAAAACTTGAATTATTTGGGTTGGTTTAGCCTGGGAGAGTATTGATCATGAAGCAATATGATGGCCATCTTCAAATATTTGATGGGCGATTGAAGAGAAAATTGAGAATATTTGTTTTCTGTCACTTCAGAGAATTGTAGGATCCAAACTGAAGCAGTTCAAATTACAACATCATTAATCAGATCCTGTCTGAACATGGACCACCAAAGAGTAACATGGACCACCAAAGAGTACCAGATGCTATATAGGTTATATTTAGAATCACAGAATCATTGAGTTGGAAGGGCCATCCAATCCAACCCCCTACCATGCAGGAATACACAATCAAGTACCCCATCAAGTACCCCCGACAGATGGCGATCCAGTCTCTGTTTAAAAACCTCCAAAGAAGGAAAATCCACCTCTCTCCAAGGGTCTTCCTAATGTTTAGGTGGAATCTCTTTTCCTGTAGTTTCCATCCATTGCTCCGTGGTCTTAGGAGATAATAGCGCTATTCTAATGTTATTCAGCAATAACGATACAATGGCAAAACAGGAACACTTACTTTCACATGGTGCCGCAATAACGGAGCATTAATGATTCACGAATGGTAAAATAGCGCTTTTACATTCCGCACGTCGGCAGCTTTTAGTGCTGGCGTCCCGTGTTTCTCTCGCCATTAGGGAACTCTCCTGTGACTCACAAGTGTGACATAGGAGGTGATTCTGCCGAACGGCACACCGGGGGACTCAATTTATTTCCGGAAGGTTTAATGACGGATTCCCAATGGCGCTATCGAAACGTGATTACCTTTCACAAATTGGCGACAGCGCTAATGGGAAGACATTAACACATTTTTATCGTTAATGAGACATTGCACTAGCATGACACTTCGATGATGGGACAAGTACAGTATTGCACGACATCGTGTGAAAATCTTCCTGCAATTGCTCAGGCGTGACAGGAGCATAGCACTCTTCTCCCATTTCTTACCCTCGTGTGATAATCTCCCTAGTCTGTGGAGCAGCAGAAAACAAGCTTGCTCCATCCTCCATAGGACATTCATTCAGATATTTAAACAGGGCTATCATATTACCTCTTAACCTTCTCTTCTCTAGGATGAACTCACCCAGGTCCCCAAGTCTCTCCTCATAAGGCATGGTTTCCAGACCCTTCACCATTTTGGTTGCCCTCCTCTGGACATGCTCCAGCTTGTCAATATCCTTCTTGAATTGTGATGACCAGAGGAAGGAATTGGAAAAACCACTTCTGAGTATTCCACGCCTAAGACAGGCCACATGAATCCGCAAAACACATAGGCAATGTAGGCATGAATGGAGCGACCCTTATAAATTCATGGCTCACCATAAGTCAACAGGCAGCTTGAAGGCACATACACATACAATTTGTTGTCCAGGTGTTATGGATGGGTATCAGACAAAAACTGGGACACGGGCCAAGTAACATCAGCATTGTAGCCAAGATGGCAAACGTTATTAATGAGAAAAAACCCAAACACGTTTGGAGAGGATGCAGCAGTATACTTTTGCCTGAGCCTACAGGGAAGGGCAAGATTCTGATCCCTTCCTCTCCTCTCTTTCCTGCCGAGTTGACTGAGTGCAAACTAGTTTTGCACTCTGAACTCAGTTTGCACCACTGAAGTAAGCTGCAGACAAAAGGGGCAAGTGGGAGGCCAAAAGAGAAATTGGGACATTTTCATAGAATCATATAGAGTTGGAAGAGACCACAAGGGCCATCCAGTCCAACCCCCTGCCATGCAGGAACTCCCAATACAGAATCATAGAGTAGGAAGAGACCACAAGGGATTTTCAAAGTAGCTGAAAAGTAGATGACAGAGGATTAATCAGGACTGTCCCTGCCAAACAAGGATAGTTAGAGAGTATGGTAATTTCATGCCCCCTGGCTTCTCTCCTATTTTAGAGTCTTTTATTGTTAAACTGAGGACCAGCATGGTGTAATGCAGGTGTCCTCGGACTTTTTTATCCGGGGGCCGGTTCACTGGCCCCCAGATCTTCCAGAGGGCTGGAGGCGCGTACACATACGCGCACACACATGCGCACGACTCCGGAT